GAGCTTGTTCAATTCAGGAAAACAAAGTGTTGAAGGTAAGAATTTCTACTCTTGAACAAAATGCTATTTCTGCTAGTAGAGAAACTGATAGTTTGAAGGCTAAATTTGCTAAAACCCAAGATTCTATTTCTAAATTAAATACAGGTAGGGTAAATCTGAATGAAACTTTGAGAACAAGTCAGCCGAACTATGGTCATCTAGGTAGAGGGGGTAATAAACTATTTGATGATGCTTTGAAACAGAAAGAATATCCAATAGGAAAAATCAATATTGTTAAACAATCCACTGTTTCACAGACTGTTGCGACTGTTACGTCAAAACAGTCATCTCAAAGAAAACGTTTTGTGCCTATTTGTCATTTTTGTCATGTTCCTGGTCATATACGACCCAAGTGTTTTAAGTACTTGAAAATGGTTAAGAGAATAATGGCCCGCTCACCACTTTCCGCTAAAATTGATCACACTTTTGTGTCGTCTCAAAAACCCAAGATAAAGGTTGATTTAGTGAATAAAACTCAACAAAAAATCTGGGTAAAGAAGTCTGATCTTAATTGTTTATCTGCCATTTCTTCTTTAAAATCGTATGATGATAGTACTAACTGTTCCAACAGTTCTGTTGACAAAATTGGATTGGGGCATAAGAAACTTGATCTTCTGAATTTTGATAATTTGAGTGCGAAAAATAATTCGATGAATCCTATTCAGCATTCGAGAACTAAGCTTACTGATATTTGTCATCGTTTCATAAGGGGCTTGGTTGAAAAGGGGGTTGTCTCAATTGATTATGCTGCAACGGAGAATGAATTAACTGATGCTTTTGCAAAAACCCTTGATGCACAGAGATTTTACTCCTTGCGAAAATCGTTGGGAATTTATGTTGTTTAATCTGATGCAGTTGCATAAACTGTTGCAACAGTCTGTGTGTCCAGACTTGCAACTTTTAGTGGTAGGACACTGCATATGTTTTTGCATCTCATATAGGACCTGCATTAAGCATACTGCACATGATTGAGACAAATGTGAATTTGATACTTCGTGTACTTCTAAACTTTGTGGGGGTAGAACTTCACCAATTCCCAAAATGATTACTTAAAAGGCTCCAACTTATTTATTTCTCTGAATAGTCTTGTCATGGTTGGATGTTTATATAGGGAAAAGCTGCATCTTTTAATGAGTGAAAGCTACTCTTGAACTACTGTTACAAATATATATATCTACAACCATTTGGTCAGTGAATAGTTCGAAGCCTTTTTGAGTCGAGTCAGTAAATCACATGGCCGAAAGCTCGCTACATGGCTCAATTAGAAAGCCCAGGGGACTACACATTGCACGGCAATATAAATTATATATATGGTCAGTGAATAGTTCGAAGCCTAGTTGAGTCGAGCCAGTAAACCACTTGACCGAACACTCACTACAAGGCTCAATTAGAAAGCCCAGGGGACTACACATTGCACGACCACCGTAATCTCGTTCCTTTTAATTGCTATATTTTTCATGGGAAAAAGCTACCATTAGACGTGTGTGTACGCTACCTAATAAGAGCATCTTTGTGTTTGACTTGGGATTATTAAGTTTATTGGTTGCATTAGCAGTCGGATTTTTGGGGATTGCGCTTATCGTGAATGTGAAGATAAATCCAATATGTTTTGTTTGTCCATGCAGTATCCTATTCACATATGTCTCGTCACTAATGTTTATTTTTCATGTTTACTTCTTGTCTTGCATTAGGTATTATTGAAAAAAAAAAAAGAAAAAAAAAAAGAGAGAGAGAGACGGGATTTTTGTTTATGTGCCGGTTAAATTTGATTTTTTGTTGCAGCCGGATCTATTGAGTTTACCCCTCACATTTCCTTGTTTCGTATGAAGTTTGACAAAGTCTGTAGTCTTTTTTATTTAATGATGGATTTGATATCATTATCCTTTGATTTTCGCATTGCAATTATCGTGTGGTATTGAGGTTGTGAGTTTGTGATTTTGTGTGCACGTTATGTATAGTGATTCTTCTCACTTACTTTCAAGATTCTCTCTTCGTTTGATATTTTTGTTAAGTTTTTGAACAGATTGCTCGACACATCAATATCATTAGTCCATGTTGGTTTATCTATGCATGTTGGTGATAGCCCAGAAAGGGGGAGAAAAGAACAGTAACGAGGGCATGAACACAGGGGGAGTTCGGACTACTGTTGCCAGTGCATCTAACAGTTGCTGGAATAGTGCAGGAATGCAGGCGGAGTTCAGACAACTGTTGAGACAGTGCATAAGACAGTTGCTGGAATAGTGCAGAAATACAGGAAAAATAATGAGCATTGTGAAGAGAAGTTGTTCCTGCTACCGCATATCCTTTTATCTCATGCTTATCTGAACGAATTATCTGGTTTAATTTTGGAACTATGGTTTATTTACAGTTCACACTATCTGCTGAACTGTTTGATAAACTGTTGCAACAGTTTATATTTGCAGATGTTATTTTGAAATTGCTGACCCTTGTTCATGCATGTATCATATATTTAGGGGGAGTAAATGTTCTGACCAATCAATGCCAAAGGGGGAGAGTGTTAGAATCTCGGTGGGATTCTAAGTCCACAACACAAAGTGGAATTCTATGGAGATGTGTATTAATATGAGGAACATATTTTCCTTAGTTATCTCATTAAATAATTTGAGAAGAAATAAATTATCTCTCCATATTAATCACCTGAACGTGTATCTCCAAAATAGAAGGAATTTCACATTTTTAATATTGTACAATTTCATTAATTGGTTTAGGTCTTCACAAGAATATAAAAGGAGGAGCTAATGCTGATGTTATTTGCTGAGTCTTTTATCACGTGGATGATTCACCACGTCGCCCTCCAGCGCCCTCCAAGTCTACCAAGACAAGTGAGCAAAGGGGAAGAATGAATGGATTTACAAGAGGAGCTGCCTAAGGATCATTCACATGGGGAGATACACATGCAGGGGGAGCTGACTCCGTTGTGAACCACCTACCATAGCCACTACTATGGGAACAGCTGCTGAAACTGTGGCACTTACTATTGCAGCAGTTGATGGCACTCTTATTGCTGAAAGAGATGATGATGATGAGCTGTTCCTTTGATGCTGAAGATGATCTTTAGCTTTATTATTTTCTTCTATCCTCTATTGTTTCATTTTCAGGCAATTTACACAACGGGAGAAAATGATTATAATCAATAAACGACAAAGGGGGAGATTGTTAGAATCCATTGGATTCTAATTATACGAGAATTAAATAAAACTTGTGCCACAAGTTTGCATATACCGTGAGCTAAAGAAGGGAAGAGTCCTTGTAGTTTTTAATTCTTTTAATTTGTCATTAATTGATTTATAATAGGAATTATTCTTCTAAAGAGTTATTCTTATTTTAATGACTTGTCTTCTGCGTATATTAGCTACCTTAGACCTAATGGACTTTGGTTTTCCTTGTTGTACAGTGAATCAAAAAACGTAGGCGAACATATATACGAGAGCAGCACGGGATCATGATTGTTAGAATTCGTTGGATTCTGACTTCGCAAGGAAACTTGTAAAAGACCTGTACCACAAGTCTAGATATGACGTAATATAAGAAGGGGAGTTTTCTTGTGTTTTAATTATTTATTTGATCATTAATTGGTTAACACTTGATACGGAAATTATTCATAGATTAGGATGCAATATCTTAAGATAATGCATGAGTTTTGAAAGTCCATATTTTATGTACGTGGTAACTTGATTTCTTTGGAGTCTGGAAGAAACCCACCTGATTTGTTTACCAAATTATATGATTTGGTTACCAAATTGTGGGTCCAACTTTAAGGAATAAATTTCCTTACGTCTCTTTTAGTCATTAATTGTGCTTTATGATATATGGAATTTAAGTATGATTAGGGAACTTAATTTATTTCATATATTTATCTGATACGTCTTTATGGTTATCATTGCTAGGGAAAACAAACGTATAAAGTACAAGAGCAGAACGTGATTCTTGCGTGCCTTTTTGTAGAGAAAATATTTTTCTTTTCTTTGTTGCTCTTCCGGAACGTCTTTGATCGAGAGAAGTTTTTCACATAAAATATTTTTCCTCTCGTTTTTTTATTGTTCCATCGTGATACGTGATTTTCATAGAAAATATATCGGCTTCAAGGCTTTGTGGTGAAGACACCAAGATTCAAGGAGTATCACAAGTTTGCTTCTTCTATATAAAAAGAAGATCGGTTCTTCGGGAGAGGGGCTTAAACAGATCTCGGGAGGAGATCGATCCGCCGACTGAGGGATTCAGCGTTGAAGGGAGTTCAACCGTGCGGAGCAAGGGACGTGCTGCAAATTGAAGATTTATAATTCAGCATAGTATACGAGAACGGCGTCAACAAAGAGGGAGTCTTTGTATTTTGATTAAGTCCTATTATTGTATTCGCAAAACTAAAAATTAGTAAATTTTATTTGCAGGTCCCCGTGGATGTAGGGTACAATTGTATCCGAACCACATTAAAATTTGTGTCTCGTTTATTTCTGTTTTTACGAACTGCTTCACGAACTGTTGCAAAACTTAACGCAACAGTAACGAAAAACTGAATTTGACACAAATAATTTATATATGCACGAAATAAATTCTAACAAGTTCCACTCCAGATCTTGCGAACAAGGACGATCTGTTCAATCAGAAGCCGAAGAAGAAGATGCTGATAATTCATGGTGGCGACGAAACCCAACTCATCGTCCACACACGAAAATGGAATTTCCCCGATTTGATGGTGGTGATCCACGTGGTTGGATCCTGAAGGCGGAAAAGTATTTTCGCTACTACCAAACTCCTGAAGAAATTAAAGTCGATATTGCGGCTATGTATCTTGAAGGAGATGCCCTGGATTTGTTTTCGTGGCTTAACAATGAAAGAACGTTAGTTTATTGGGAAGAACTGGTGAAAGCTTTACAAAAAAATTATGGTCCGGCGGAATTTCAGAACCCTGATGAACATTTATGTAGCATCCACCAAACAGGAACTATCCAGGAGTATCGGCAAGAATTTGCAAAACGCTCGGCGAGGGTTTCAAATTGGCCAGATCATTGTCTGTTGGGTGTCTTTCTAAACGGATTGAGGGAGGATCTTAAAGCTGACGTTCGGATACACAAACCTCGTACGGTATATAAAGCCATGAGTTTGGCTTTGGAGTTCGAATCTAAAATATGTTCAAATAGGACGAACATGGTATCTAACTATTCCAGTGCTTCTAGACCTAATAACATTCCATTCTCTCCACGAGTTCCTTTCCCACGAGACGGCCAACCCGCAGGGAATAATCTCCAAGCAAATCCACGGCCAATGCCTACCCCAAATTCAACTTGTACTTGGGAGAGCGAGCGGCAGAATCGAATTGCCAAGGGCTTGTGTTTTCGCTGTAATGAGAAATTCGGTCCAGGCCATCGATGCAAAACAGGTACTCTTTCACTCTTAGAAATTGCAGACGAGGGAGAAGATGCGGGTAGAGACGAACATGCCTTACCGGAAGATGAACCTGAGGGTACAACACAAGCCAACTTTGCTGAGATTAGCTTTCACGCAATACTGGGAAAATCAAATCGGACTACAATGAAGCTTCAAGGCACTCTCGGCAATAAAGAAGTCCTTATACTCATCGACAGTGGTTCAACACATAATTTTGTGGCTGAAAACATTATTGACGACATCAAACTTCCAACCCAATTTGTTCCATCTTTTGGAGTACAAATCGGCAATGGAGAAGTGATTCTTTGCAACCGAATTTGCCGAGATCTGGTGGTGCAATTACCAGGACTGAAAATAACACAAGATTATTTTCCCTTCTCAATTAAAGGAGCAAACATGGTGTTGGGAATACAATGGCTTGCATCATTGAATACTGTACAAGCTAATTAGCAGGAGATGTTTCTCATCTTTGAATTGAAGGGACGAAAATACAAGTTGCAAGGAGTACCTCAGCAAGCACAATCAGCGGCAACATTTCAATATATGGCAAATGAGGAGGTTAGTACGAGTATTACACACACACATAACCCTGGAATTCACAATTTACTTCATGAATTTGAGTCTATTTTTCATGAACCAAACACTCTTCCACCTTTTCGATCACACAACCACTCTATATGTCTTACTCCTAATTCGAAAATCCCCAATATCCGACCTTACCGATACCCATATTTTCAAAAGTCTGAAATTGAAAAACAAGTTTCTGATTTACTTCGTTTGGGTTTTATTCGTCCCAATACTAGTCCTTATGCCAACCCTGTTCTATTGGTTAAGAAAAAAGATGATACTTGGCGAATGTGTGTCGATTATAGGTCCTTAAACCAAATAACCATTCCTGATAAATATCCCATACCCAATATAGATGAGCTGCTTGATGAATTACACGGTGCAACCATTTTTTCAAAAATTGACCTGCGCACGGGTTATCACCAAATTCGGGTTAATACTGATGACATTGTCAAAACAGCTTTCCGGACTCATTCTGGCCATTACGAATTTATTGTAATGCCATTTGGTCTCACCAATGCCCCGTCCACATTCCAAGCAACGATGAATGATCTTTTCAGGCCACATCTTCGACGATTTATTTTGGTCTTCTTCGACGACATCCTTATTTACAGTTCATCACCTGAGGACCATATGGCACATCTGCGGATTGTTTTTGAGCTTCTCCGGGATAACCAATTCTTTGCTAAAGCTTCCAAATGTTCCTTTGGGCAGACTCAAATCTCATTCTTGGGTCATGTGGTGTCAGCCGAAGGTGTGGCGGTGGATCAAGATAAGATCTAAACTGTCCAGGAATGGCCGGTGCCTTCAAACGTAAAGGAGTTACGCGAATTTTTGGGGTTAACAGGATATTACCGTCGATTTGAAAAAAAAATGGTCTTCTTGCCAGACCATTAACTGATCTTACAAAGAAAAATGCATTCCGATGGTGTCCAGCAGCTGATGATGCTTTCCAGCAACTCAAAGGTGCTCTTACATCAGTCCCTATTTTGCGCCTTCCTGATTTTGGTCAATCATTTACAGTGGAATGTGATGCTTCGTCGGAAGGAATTGGAGCCATACTTCTTCAAGAGGATCATCCCGTGGCTTATTTTAGTAAGGGGTTTTCATTCTCCAACCGTTTGAAATCCACGTATGACCGGGAATTGCTCGCTCTTGTGCTGTCTTTGCTGAAATGGAAACATTATCTCTTGGGACGGCACTTCTTTGTCAAGACAGATCATTTCAGTCTTAAATTTTTACTTGAGCAGCGAGTTACAACAAATGAACAGCAGCGGTTACTTATGAAGCGGCTACCGTTTAACTTCTCAATTATTTATAAGGCTGGAAAAGAGAACAAGGGGGCAGATGCACTTTCTCGTCGTCCACAACATGCAAAATTGCTTACCTTCGCGATTCATATTTCCTTAGATTTTGCGGACTTGCAGCAGGCACTTCGAATAGACCCTTTCACCAGTAAGATTATGGAGTCACTTTCTCAGGATTCCACTTCTCATCCTCATTTCCAGGTCGTCGATCAGAAATTATATTACAAAAGCCGCCTGGTGATTCCCGATAATGTGCCTTTGTGGCACAAACTTTTGTCTGAGTCTCATGACACTTTAGCTGCGCGTCATGGAGGATACTTAAAAACTCTCAGTCGGCTCTCTTCTAATTTCTTTTGGGCAGGTATGAAACACGATGTTAAGCATTATGTTCAAAATTGTTTAACTTGTCAGCAAAATAAGTATCAGACTTTGGCTCCAGCCGGTCTTCTTCAACCCTTTCCTGTACCGAATAAAATTTGGGAATATATCTCTTTAGATTTCATTGTTGGTCTTCCCAGATCAAAAAAGTTTGAGACCGTTCTGGTGGTCGTTGATCGGCTTAGTAAGTATGCTCATTTTATCCCACTTTCTCACCCATTTACGGCGAAAGTAGTGGCTGCAAATTTTTGCAGGGAGATTATTAGACTTCATGGCATTCCCAGGTCAATCCTTTCGGACCGAAATGTCATATTTCTTAGTAATTTCTGGCAAGAACTGTTCAAGTTGAGCGAAACTCGCTTACGGATGGGGACAGCATACCATCCACAGTCCGATGGTCAGACGGAGGTGGTTAACCGATGTCTCGAAACATACTTGCGTTGCTTTGCAAATGAACAACCTACTCGATGGAGTGTTTTTCTTCCCTGGGCAGAATATTCTTACAATACCGGGTTTCATACTTCCACTGGAACCACACCGTTTAACATTATCTATGGTCGCGATCCGCCACCACTCCATCCCTTTGTTCCGGGTGAAACGAGTTTGGTTGAGTTAGAAGAGCAGCTGCTTCTCCGCGATGACATGCTCAAATTACTGAAATCAAATCTCTTGAAGGCTCAGTCACGAATGAAAGCACAGGCGGATTCCAAGCGACGAGAGTTAAGTTTCAATATCGGGGATTCTGTCTTTTTGCGCATTCAGCCGTATCGTCAGCTCTCCCTGGCAAAACGCCAATATGAAAAACTTTCTCCTCGGTTTTTTGGTCCTTACAAGATTATTCGGTGGGTCGACTCAGTAGCATATGAATTGGAACTTCCTACTTCTTCCAAGATTTATCCGATCTTCCATGTTTCGCTACTTCGCCCAGCCTTTGCACAAACACCTGCTTGTCCACCAGCCCCTCTTCCCATCAGCACTAATTGGGAGCTCATTCTATTCCCGGCAGCAATACTGTCTCACCGTTGGATTAAAGAAGGCGGTGTTTCCATCTTACAATTGTTGGTGCAATGGAAAGATCGACCTATAGAAGAAGCTAGCTGGGAATACTATAATCTTATTGCCGGACAGTTTCCATCATTTCGCCTTGAGGACAAGTCGAGTTTCCAGGGGGAAAGTACTGATAAGAGTCCACCTCTTCAAGTATATTCAAGGAAGAAACTGATAGCACGTGATAAGGAGCAGATGACAGAAACTGAATTGCAGTTATTGGGTTTAAATTATCCAGATAACATCCTGGATATTCTCAAATAATCTTATCCCCTATTTTTAGGAACTTAGTTATGTCTAGCAGTTATCCTATGTATTATAAATAATTAGGGAATTGTAATTTTAGGATTAGCCATTGAAATTGTAATCTGAATGTACTATTGGAGATTTGTCTTCTCGAACTTGACAAAGGTTAATAGTTGTATTTGTGTTTAAGATTCTTGCACTTTTACAGCTATTAAACATATTTCTTTCTCTCATTTTTATATGACATTTCTGCTCCTATCATCCTCCCATGTGTACATAATGTTTCAAAAAAGTAGGTTCTAACTTCCGCTTCCTCATTTTCGTTGTGTGGTTATTCCACCTCATAGATACACGCTCCTAATTCAAAAATAATAAGTCTACTATCAATGCCAACTGAAGCCGATGAAGCACCCACAATATTAACAATCAAGTCCAACTTTGCGAAAAACTGATGAAAAATAATTACCTCTCTTGATGCCGCAACCAATGCCAACTGAAGCCGATGGGAAAAACAATGCATGTAATATGCATATGGACAATCTTTAAAAAATAATGCTTGTAATCCATTCCATTCACCACGCATATTGCTTATAGCATCATAACCTTGCCCTCTAAGGTTTTCAACGTTTAAAGCATGATGTGAAAAAAAATATTAGAAAGATCTTGTTTAAGAGTCAATGAACAAGTATTTTCCACGCTAACGATATCAAAGAAACGTTCTTAGAGAAAACCCACCTGGTCTACAAATCTTAAAACAAGAGCCATTTGTTCTCTTTTGAACTCGTATCGTGCTTCATCAACAAGAATACAAAATTTGGAATCACCAATATCTTCTCGAATCTTCCTTCTCACTTTAGAAGCAATAACATGCAATATCTCCTTTTGGATTATTGGAGATATGTATTTTGCATTAGGACGAGTTTTTTCTAAAACAGTTGCAGCTACTTTATCATTATAATTTGCCAATAATTTCACCATATCACGAAAATTACCCGAATTCTTTGATGTTGGCCCTTCGTCACCACCTCGAAAAGAACAAGATTGATATGCAAGTCAAAGAACACAATCAATTGATGTTCTAAGCCTCAATCGATTATTCAATATCTGCTCCGATGACTGCCTTTGCATGACCTTGTCAATATGCCTAGATTGATTCATTAAATCCTCACATGATTTCATAGAGATAAAATGGGAGGATGTATGATTTCCGACATGACGTAAAAAGGAACCCGTATCTCCATCATTTACCTTTTTCCAATTGCTACATCCTTCCACCGTGAATGCATTTGCACCAAAACGTGCTACTTTCTTACTAGCAAAAAGATAGCACGGCAAACAATAAGCAGCATCTTTGGTAGGGGAATACTCTAACCAAGAAGAGAATTGAGAAAACCAAAAATATTGGAATCGTCGACGAGTACTCTTCTCATTACTTGAAAAAGGGTACTTCGATAAGAAAAACTGA